TTCTGAGCCCGGGAAACAAGCACGGACTGGTGGGACCGCATAGTGCTGCAGGTCTGGGATGAATCCCAGTGGCTGCGAAACTTTCGCATGCGGAAGGGCACTTTCCTGGAACTTTGTGAGTTGCTGTCCCCTGCCCTGAAGCGCAATGACACCCGGATGCGAGCAGCCCTGACTGTCCAGAAGTGAGTGGCCATAGCCCTCTGGAAGCTTGCAACGCCGGACAGCTACCGGTCAGTCGCAAACCACTTTGGTGTGGGCAAATCTACCGTGGGGGTCTGGCCGGGCGATTAGAAGATCCCAGCGGGACGCGCTGTGCATCCGGGAGGCTTTGAAAGCTAGGTTCCTGACTGAGCAGGGTAACCAGTGACTGTTAAGTTTGTGGACACAGAAGCTGAACCTGCCCCCGTTTCTTTACCCAGTTTATGTTGACTATCCTCTCCAGCTACATACGCCCTTCACCCCCTTCCCAAAAAATAAAATCTGTTCTGTTTTGTTAATGAACACCGTTGTCTTTATTACTGTTTTCGCGGGAATGTTTTAAACCGGGGACGCAGACTGTGGCGGGGGGCGGGTTTAGTGTTCTGATGCAAATGATGCTTCTGAACTCCAGGAATGACAGGCTCCGCAGTGGTGGACTGGTTGTTTCAACGGAGCCTGCCAGCACTCCTGGGCGGGACTGCGTGTATGTGTCGGCTAGGTGACTTTCTGGCAGTGGGAGGAGGGTTACAGATCCCCTGCTGCGTGGCTCTGTGATCCAGGATAAGGACCGCTGCAAAAGATCAGTAACTGCCCTCCCCCGCCACAAAGTCACAGAGCAACCCCCCCCCCACAGAACATGAAAACCACCTCCCAGACTGACCAGGGTAACTAGTGACTGCACTGTGTATGTGTCCTGATGCTGGACCTGCCCCCGCCTCTGTACCCTGCTAAAGGTGACTGTCCTGTCCAATTACCAAGCCCCTTCCCCCCCTTCAGACAGACTCTCCTCCAAAAGAAAATCATGGAAACAGTAATTAACAGAAACGAATATTTTATTATGAACCACACATGAAACGGGCGGGGGGGGGGAAACTTGTGTGAGGTGGGTAGGAAAGGACTTTTCAAATTTTGAGCAGTCTGCAGGGGTTGACTGAAAGTTTTAACGGCCCTTGCCGCCCCTCCTTCTTTGGACTTTGGGTGAGGGGGGGTGTGGGACTTGGTGGCGGGGGAGGGCGGTTAGAGATAGACTGCAGCGGGGCTCTGTCCTCCTGCCTCCGGTCTTGCAGAACATCCACAAGGCGCCGGAGCGTGTCCGTTTGCTCCCTCATTAGTCCAAGCAGCGTTTGAGTCGCCTGCTGGTCCTCTTGACGCCACCTCTCCTCCCGTTCCATGATTGCTCGGTGCATTTGGGACAAGTTCTCCCTCCACTGTGTCTGCTGGGCTGCATGGGCTCGGGAGCAGCCCATTTGTTCTGAGAACATGTCCTCACGCGTCCTCTTCTTCCTCCGCCTAATCTGCGCTAGCCTCTGGGAGTGTGATGCCAGGCTGGGTTGGGAGACAGTCGCAGATGTGTCTGTGGGAATGGGAAAAAGGGAGTGAATTCCTGAGACAGATAAATTTTGTTGTGAACAAAGAACATAGTCTTTCTCTGTGAACAAGACCATGCACTGCACCTCTCACATGCGCACTCAGGACAAGGTCGAATTTTCGGCCCTCGGCTTCAGTGCCTGGGGTCTTGCACTGCCGATCTGAGAAGCGGGGCAGGACACCTGAACTTCTGTAGCAGGCAAACATGGTAAGCCGTAGACTTGTGGCTGCTTAAAACTTTAATAGTAGCACTGGCCTCCTTTCACATTGAAAGCAATGCCAGTCTCTGCTGGCAGCAATCAGGCTAGCATGAACTCTGCCCCTGTCCCACCCCCTCGCGGCTGTCCCAGGGAAAGATCCCTGTATGCTGCCCCTCTCCCTCCACCGCGTGGCTGTAAAGCAGTCCCAATACTAACATTCCCCTCCCTAATTCAAAGCAGGGCATCATGAGCGACATCACCCTCATGAGGATCTCGGACAGCGAGAAGGAACACATGCTTAGGGAAAGCATGCAAAAACCAGGGCCGTATGCTGCCATGCTCTGCCGTGCCATGATCCCAGAATACTTGATTGTGTCGTGGCGGGGAATCGTCTCGTACCATGGGGGACCAAATAAGATCGCTCTCCCCAGGAACCTGATGACCAGGCTTGAACATTACCTCCAGGAGAGCTACGTAGAGATCTCCCATGAGGATTTCGTCTCGATCCCCGGCCATATAGACCGTATTTTGGTGTAGCTGCACTGGCAGGAAGTAAAGAGTGGAGCGTCTTTGGCTGGAGAATCATGAAAAACCGGACATTGTTTGATTTTTTTTAAATAGTTGGGACTAAATAGTTAAGCACCTAAGGCAAAGAAATCATGAAAAACCCATTGTTAATATTATAAATATTCCAGTTCTGTTAAAAATAAATGTTTAGATGTTTAAAGCACTTACTGCTTGATCCTTCCCCTGATTCTGTGTCCGGGCTAACGGCTGGGGAGTCCTCAGAGTCCACGGTCAGTGGTGGGGTAGTGGTGGCGGCCGCACCTAGGATGGAATGCAGTGCCTCGTAGAAACGTGATGTGTGGGGCTTGGATCCGGAGCGTCCGTTTGCCTCTTTGGTTTTTTGGTAGCCTTGTCTCAGCTCTTTGATTTTCACGCGGCACTGCGTTGCATCCCGGCTGTATCCTCTCTCTGCCATGGCTTTTGAGATCTTCTCGTAGATCTTAGCATTCCTTCTTTTGGAGCGCAGCTCTGAAAGCACAGACTCATCGCCCCACACAGCGATGAGATCCAAGACTTCACGATCAGTCCATGCTGGGGCCCTCTTTCTATTAGATTGCACGGCCATCTCTGCTGGAGAGCTCTGCATCGTTGCCAGTGCTGCTGAGCTCGCCACGATGTCCAAACAGGAATTGAGATTCAAACTGCCCATACAGGAAAGGGAATTCAAATTTTCCCGGGGCTTTTCCTGTGTGGCTGGTCAGAGCATCCGAGCTCGGACTGCTGTCCAGAGCGTCAACAGAGTGGTGCACTGTGGGATAGCTCCCGGAGCTATTAGCGTCGATTTCCATCCACACCTAGCCTAATTCGATATGGCCATTTCGAATTTAGCGCTACTCCTCTCGTTGGGGAGGAGTACAGAAGTCGAATTTAAGAGAGCTCTATGTCGAACTAAATAGCTTCGTGGTGTGGACGGGTGCAGGGTTAATTCGATGTAACGGCGCTAAATTCGACATAAAAGCCTAGTGTAGACCAGGCCTTAGAGACTTTTATAGAGGCTACCTTTTATATCACAAGAGACCTTCTACCCAACTGTGTGGTATTATTAAATGTGAATGAAGATGCTTGACTGAACTAAATAACTTCTGAGCTTTGCAACGTACAGAGTAATTTGTTCATGGTGGACTAATCCATTAAGATTATTTTGTCTGGTTGAGCTAGCTATTCTGTGTAAGTGATCCCAACCTGTAGCTCCCCTTCTATATGGAACAAATCCTGCCTTAAGTATTTTTACCCCCAAACTAACTGCTGTTACATTAATTGCTTGGAACCTGTCTTACGAAAGGTGGAAAATCCTTCTATTTTTTTTGAGGGGGGCACTTTGCTGCAGAATTGAGGTTGTGCCAGGACTGGTATTCCTGGATGCATCCTTATGCTAACAACAAATGTATGCTAAAATTCGACAGAATCCGAATCACGGTAACATGGCTCAGAAGATGGATTCCACATAGGTGACTGGTGTGGAGTTAACTGGTAGAGGGAGAGCTTGTTAATCACAATCTGGTTATTTTCATTCTGCTAGACTTAAATAAAATGTTAATGGGAGAAAGGGTAGACAGTGGATCTGGAAAAGAGCAGGAATGCAAATTGTTTCGGTCCATGATATTTGCTCCCTATAAACGACTGTCTGGTATGACTACATCCAGCATAAATAGACAGAACAGGCACCATTTATTTTGAGAACAGTCAAAACTGCATATAAAAGAACAAGGGATTGTTTTAAAATCTCATAGTTACAATAGCCTCGTGGTTTAGAGACTGGACTGGGATTTATGAGCTCTGAGTTCAGGTCCTGGCTCTGCTACAGACTTTCAGAATATTCTTGTTCAGGTCATCCAATTTCTTTGTCTCATTTTCTACCCCTAAAACTGGGAGGATGCTACTTCCCTACCTCAGAGGGATGTTGTGAGGATCAGTTAAATACACATAAAGTGCTTTGAAGATGAAAATGCTAGAGGTTAATTATTGTTAGAGGCCCAGTCCTGCTATCCTCTCTGAGGCATGGGTCTGCAGGATCAAGCCTGTTATGACAGCTACCAGGGAAAGAGAATATAATAAATACAGAACTGTAGTTGTGCACTCTTTCCCGTTCCCCAATTTCAAATGTTCTTGAATGATTTTTTTCATTTAAAAAAAAAATAAGATTGAGGCGGAAGAAGCGCCATCTTTGGAACCCCAGGCTGAAGAACCCCTCTCTCCCCCTGCCGTGGCGCCTGTTGCTGCCGCGGCTCCTGTTGCTGCCACTGCGCCTGTTGCTGCCACGGTTCCTGATGCTGCCGCTGCTCCTGTTGCTGCCACTGCTCCTGTTGCTGCCACGGTTCCTGTTGCTGCCACTGCGCCTGTTGCTGCCGCTGCCGCTGTTCCTGAACAGGAAGCTCTGCCTGCTGAGCCTAGTGAGCCAGCAGAGGAAGCTGTGGTGAGTGACCAAAACCTCATATGCCCCAGCTTTCCCTGGTTTTTTTTGTTCATCATTGTGTATGTGTCCACCACATTACAGCCATCCTTTCCATTTTTATCCTCTTTACTTTTAGGGCTGGTTTCCGTTCTGGCCTCCCATGTCACAACAGGCTTTCCAAAAGCTATGTGTGCCTCTTTACCCTAAAATGTCATTCCTCTTATGGCTGGCGTTTCAGAGCGAAGTTCAACTGAACTACTGTGGATTCAGATATTGTAACTGTCAGACAAACATAACCAGGGAAATGAATTGATACCATTTATAAATGACACTATTAATGCTTTTCTCTTTTCAAGATGATCAAGTGGAGAGATAAGTACTGGGCTAATGTACATCTTGAATGTTGTTTGATTGAGCATTGAACTGCTTCCTAATAAAAACCAAAACACAGGTTTATACAAGTCTCCTAATGTTAGAAGCCAGCCGGAGAACTGAGCTCCAAAGCCAATTGAGGGTATCCAATTGAAGATCTCACAAGTCAACATTCAGAAAAATGGGAGTCAAATGTTGTGGGAAAAGAGGATGGCTTTCAAAGAAAACCACAGCAAGGTTGCCTAAGCTGCTTCCCTCTCCTCCCCAGCCAATCTGTTATATTTCAAGAGGTACTCTAAGCCAGTGGTTCTCAGTCTTTTCCATATTGGGTTTCCCTTTTTCCATAATGTGGCCACCATGGAGCCTCTTCCATCTAGCCAGGGCACCCCTGCTATTAACAATATGGAAAGGCCAGGAGGGTTTCACCCCAGTGCTGAGAATCCATGATCTAAAGAAAAATGCATCCATTTCTGTTGACTGCCAGCCTAATAGTATATCTGCTTCCACAGGCACTATTATCTTTCTCCAGGTCAGTAACTAGTGGTCTGTCACTGTTAGAATCTGAACAGGTATTCACTTGGCCAAATCCTGACTTCCCACGACTAACATTAAAGGTTATTAAATCAGATTATATCACCATTGCTTTTCACTCACTTATAGATAGATTGTAAGACATTATGTGTGGGAAGAGAAGAATTTGGCTGGAAGCCATCTGAGGCATTACCCTCATTTGAAGGCACCTTAATCACTCCTTTTTAGAGTTAGTAAAATAATCCAAAGAATTATTTGATATACCATATAACTGCTCCAAAAATCCAGTTCACTGAGGCCCATTACTGAGTCTGGAATTTTCCTGTGGACTGTTGCAGACACATGACCCAGAATTAGACAGGAAAAAAACCTGTTTTATGGGTCCATCCTTCTGCCATTGAAGTCGATGAGTGTTTCATTCACCTTTTATGACCCTCAGGAAGCAGTTTGATCCAGAGATAGGGGCACTGGATGGGGAATCAGAGGGCCTAATAGGTGACATGGGCAAGTTTCTGTGCCTCATTTTCTGGTGCTACCTACTTTGTAAAGCTAGGTATTTATTAGTAAGAGCAGGATTAGTCCTTCCTTCATCCACCATTTCACTAGGGGTAGGGGAAGTGGACGTCTGCTTTTTCCTGTTCGACTATATGAAATCAAAACAGCACTTGTCTACATCTAGACAAACGTATCATCTATAGAATTTATTTATGGCATATGTACTGCAGTGAACAGGCCTTATCATATGTGTCGTGGGACTCTACTCAAAATCATGCTACCAACCCATACTCTGGCCACTGCCTATAAAATAGCTGGAGGTTTGTTTATATTGAAATAGTCATACTGCAGTGGTTCACCTTTTTTTAGAACTACTGTTTCCTGCAGTTTCTCTGCAGACTCAAGTAAATGTATTTTATCACTGCATTAGTTACATGCAGAAGGCGTTCTTCACAGCCAGAAAACGAGGTGCTTACATTTTGCAGAAATTGCTCTGGACCCCAGAGAAGGGCTGTTACTGCATGCCAACCATGTGTACCTACAGCCTGAGTTTCACTCAGTGGTGTAAGATCAAGAATCCTGATGTCAGCTCTATTTGATTCACACAGTCTCAAATGCAAATGAATACTTGGTACTCACTAAGAGTTAGGTCGACCCTTTAAGCTCAGTCATGTGGGAGAACAAGTAACTTATTGCAACTCTGAAAAGAGTTTAGTGTACTTTTTTTCCCTTGCGCCTGGCTGGGTCCAATGGCTGGCCTGTTTAGTGTGGGGAGAGCATGCAGAAGCCATGTATTCATCCTCCCTGACCCATGCCTACCCTGGCCACTTGCCTATAGATAGTACAAGGGCTGTGCTCTACAAGGGAATTGGAGTCACAATCTGGGTAGCCATAATGTAGCTGCATGTGGGTCCTTACTTCCCCATGCTCCCTTACACTGTCTTTAGGGCCTCATTCTAGTTTTATTTACATTGGTTAACTCTTTATTGGTTTTCATGGTTTTACGACAGATGTTCACCAGAGTGAGCTCAGAATCAGCCGCTTACAATAATTCATCCAAAAACATTAAGCCTCTGCAATTTGTATGTGTCTGCTCCTCCTGTCTGTGTTTTCTTTTGAATTGGTATAAATCACAGTAATAACGTGTCAACATCATGGAAAGGCAAAAAGTGAAATAGCCTGTCTCTGAGGCACAGCATTTTGTCAAACCTTGGTCTAAGATGCCTACCCTCTACTCTTAGTAAATGTGAGAGTTTAGAATAAATGAGGAGGGGGGGAAATTAACCATTAGCCCCGATCTCTTCTTCATTTCAGTGAACTGAATTGTGTACAAAACAATTTTGAAGAGCAGATTATAATGAACCTTAAGAGGCTGTTTCTAAAATTGGTTTGATTTTGTCTTTTTACAGGGATTTCATGGAAGGAAATAATCTTTGAATAAATTATTTTCCTGAAAGAAGAGATTGCTAACCCCTTTTTATCCTCAGTTGAGGCAAAGTGAAAGTATAAAATCTATTATACACCTTGAACGCTAATTAACTGACAGGCTGTAACTGCAGTCACCACTTGCTCATAGTGGGCTGAACTGACCCTTTTACATAATCCTTTTCGCTGCTTAATGTCACATGCAGTTTTTAGTTCATGTTCTGCTAGAATATGGTACAGCTGAGGCAGAAATTACAGTGTTATTGTGAAAGAGGGAGACAAATAATTTGAGAATGGGGCAACTTAGTAGCAGTTCAGAAGACAAACAATAGATATTAAATAGCAGTTAAATGATTTTTGTTAAGGTTTTCTCCTTTTTGTTTTATTTTGTAAATGAAACTAAGTTCTTGCTCATTTGAAAAAAGGAGTCCTCTGGGAAATAAGAAATGAAACATGCTGATGTTAATAACGCATGCAGTAGATTTACTGTTGGAATCTGATCCAGTGGGAGAAGCAAATGTTACATATTAAAAGCTATTTTTCTAAAGTGATGTAAGAAGAGTTTTTGAAGATTAAGATTAAGGAAGAAATAGATAAAAGGTCAAAGGCCAACATTTGATAAGGCTACCATAGATGAAAACATTCCTCAACAGCAGTCCTGCATTCAGTTTATCGGTGTGAATTTTTTAAAAATGTGTGTTATATTTGTAAATTTTCTCCCACTACATATCTCTTCTGGCTTTACATTACACTCCAATTATAGCGGCATCATCAATAGGTGCAATTTGCCTCTAGTATATTTCCTGTCAGACCACGCTATGCCAGAAAATGTACCTTAGACATGTATTGCCCACCTTGTGGGGCTAGGGTAAATTTTCCAGCATAATGTGGGTCTCATATAATTTGAAGGAAGAAAAGGGATAGTCCAGTTATCAGGACACTAAGCTCTGACTTGGTAGACTTGGGTTCAAGTGCCTGCACCTCCACAACCTTCCTGTGTGGCCTTGGTAAGTCGCTTAGGTTATTGACACTGCTCACATCAGCGAGCCACCTGTGTCAGAAGATTCGGGCTAGTAGTGCTTGTACTAGCGCTGTAAAAGCAGCCGTGTAGACATCATTTAGAAGTTGTCTCGGGCTCTGAAGCTCCAGCCCAAGCCACGACTGTCTACACCACTGTTTTTAGAATGGTAGTGCAAGCCCCACTAGCCTGTCTCTCTCAGTCCAGGCTGGGAGCCTCGCTGCTGCGTGCAGTCCACTGGCAGTATAGACGTACCTTCTGGAACAGATTCTCAATGGTATTTATTTAGGTGTCTAAAGATGCATATATGCAGCTAACGGGATTTACAGAAGCACCTGAAGTCAATTATTTCAATGACACTTCTGTAAATCCCACTAGGTGCATATTTGAACCTTCTGGTACCTCAGTACCTTTAAAAATCTGGCCCTTAGTCTCTCTCTACCTCATTTCCCATCTGTAAAATGGGGATACAGGTACCTTAGATAGATGTGATTTATGGATAAGTCCCTCTATAATTTAATGCATATCTTGGGAAATTTCCTATCTGAATACTCTCATTTAAGTCAAAGGGGCTTCTTGTGGAGCATGAACTCATAGTGAGTAGTAGCTGTCAGAATCTGGCCTTGTTGTTGTTTACTTATGATTCTTTAATCCTTATTCTCCTGTTTTAAAATGTTTCAGTCCTCAAGTGAGGGAACAGAATCAGTATGACATGGCTTAAATAATAAATTGCACACATATAAAAAATAGCAAATAGACAAAGGTAACTGTTCAAAAACCATCCTTTGCCTGGAAATTGATTGCCCAAATTGTTTAGTAAATACTTAGAAACAACAAATGCATTTGCAGAAATCCAGGTTGATACCTTAATGATTTGCAAACGGGGCAGGGAGGGAAGAACTAAATTTGTTTTTTCAGACAGCTGTAAGTAGCTGATTTAAGTAATATGTTAGCTTATAGTAAGCTTCAGATCCATACCAATCGGTCTCATTCAGTAATATTATAAGAGTATATTTTCCAAAGGCCAAATCCTGAAGTACTTGTTATTCAGGCATAAGTCCTGCTAACACAAATGGCCCTTAGATGTGAATAGTTCTTGAAAAATCAGTCTGGTATTTTCTGCAGTCAGATACATGGGTATTTTCTTTCATCCTCTATTTTTTCTTCAACAAACATACTT